ATATATATATATATATATATATATATATATATATATATATATATATATATATATATATATATACAAAAGTGGAAGTTATTTGGGTCTTACAAGTCATTTTCCTAATATTTAATTAAATGCCATAATCCATGTCATTCGTTGACTTTTCATTAGCTGGTTGACCCTAATGAGAATGGAACAAAAGTGGAAGTTATTTGGGATTTTTTAGACAAAATGTTAAGTTCGTTGGGTTTTCTTGAACAGAAAAAACATAACTGGGATACGGTTTGGAAACTTCACTGGAATTATAATCCCAAATAAAAATTGCTCAGAGCTTACTTTCTCTATATGTAATGTCGAGTAATTGTAGTCATCTATACCCTCAATTGTCATAGCCGGTGTCAACACCTGTGTGTGACAACAAGAAAAGAAAAATAAAAAATATATAAGGAGAATAAGAACATCAACACAGAACAATTGAATGGAAATATATCTCAACTTGGTGTTGGCTATTAATTCAAATCTCAAGTAATTGAGCATTCTGCTAGAAAATGGATAAATCCTATGTCTGTGTAATTGAAGCAATCTAAGTTCAACATCTGTCTTGACCTATTTAAACATGCAATTTACAAGCTCGTGAATAATATAAACACAACATACGATCAATACTCTCATCAATAGATCCCCTAATCAAAGTACCTATACAGAAATCATGTCCTTTGCTCATGCCAACCACATTATAAATCAGAACATATATATTGAAATGGGAAAATTAGATTTTTTTTTATTAAGAATAGAAATGCAAGGTTCATATAAAGAATTCAAAATGTGGTTTCTGATTAATGTAAATGAAAGTTGAGTTTAATCAAAATCGAAAGAATACCGTTTTCTTATTTTCAGTGAGAACATCTCCCACAGTGCTCTGCATAGGCAACATAATACTGTGAATTGCAGGCTGCAACCACAACAGAACTCAGAATCCAAGCAATACAGAGACAGTTGTAACCCTTCCTTGCACTTGCAGATTTTAAATTTTAACATACCTCTTCCTTGATCGTGGTTGCAACGTAAAATGCAACCTTCAAGGTTTTCATATTTTGTAATTCCTACAGACTGATGTCTAACACTTCGTAATACATAATACCATAAGTCTGTTACCCAAATAATATATATAAAAAAAGAGAGAGGGATTCAATAACCAAATTCTCTTAGTGAAAAAATTGACAAAGTCAGATAGATATATAGAAACCTAAATGTAGTGACCTTGAACTAGCATATCTGGTAAATGTCCTTCAACACGATACTCGATTGGGTCGGACTCTGGCTCTTTAAAATAGTAGTCGTGACGAGTAAACCTGTTTTTTGATGGATCGGCCACAACAAGTTCCTGGGCAACTCTGTAAGCCACATCATCGTATGTATGCAACTTTGACCTATTCATTCACTTTGGTCAAGATTAACAATGACATGTGATGGGTACAGGTAAACAAATAAGAAAGTCAAACTCACAATTTAAGACCGAAAGCATCCTCATTAGTCCTATCCAAAGATCGAAAACGAACCACCTGATAAGGGAATAAAAAATGGATACTTTAATACACAAACTACCAACTTAACAGTGCTCTTGATTAAGCATAGTAGACCTGGCGATTTTTGACATGTTCCAGAAATGAAGGAAAGTCAACATATTTGTATTCACTTCTGAAAGAAAATAATGTCTCCGTCCCTGATCTGTAAAGAAAAAAGATTTTGTTCATATGTAAACACCTCTTCACATACAGGTAACCAACTTTTTGATGATAGGAAGGTTGAGACTTATAATACTTGGCTAGATCTAAACGAGCTTCTCTTTTCAATACTTTCACACGTCACACATGAATCAAATTCTAGTTCATGATACTGGTCAAATTTAATTTCCTGATGAATCATGACATGAAGAGTGCACATAAATACAAACTCACAAATAGCAATTAGCAAACAAGTAAGAGCATGAATGATAATATTTTATTATACCTCTTACAATTTGATTTCTTCATCTAGACTAAATGCAACCATCTCATTTAATTTTGGTATAATTTCAGTTGGTGTTCCAGAACTCCTAACAAAAAGCCTACCAACATATCTAGAAAAAAGTACAAAATGTGAAGATCATAACACACGATTACCAGATCAAAATAAGACAATTAACATGTTGAAAGAAGGGAAAATGACTTATAAGTCTAAAAAAGTTTTCAAACCGTTCAAAAAACCCAAATTATGTTTTGTCTGTTCAAAAAAACCCAACAAACTTAACCTTTTGTCTAAAAAATCCCAACTAACTTACATTTTTTTCAATTTCATTAGGGTCAACTGGCTAATGAAAGTCAACGAATGACGTGACTTATGACTTGTAAGACCAACAAAGTTTCGAAACCATTCAAAAAACCCCAATCATCTTTTTGTGAGTTCAAAAAAACACAAAGAACTTAACCTTTTGTCTAAAAAATCCCAACGAAATTACGCTTTTGTTCAATTCTCATTAAAGCCAACCAGATTCATTAGATATGCAATTAGTTGGCAAATGACATGGCATTATATTTAGTGACATGGAATAAACAGATTAGAATTTCCCTTTATATATCGATGTAGGGCTTGTGGAAGGGAAAAATGAATGGTGTATGTGTTCTATATCTTGTAATGGCTAATTCGTTTTCTTCCTCTCAATCGTTGATGTCCAACTGAAGATCAACAAATAAGATATTTGATGATGCAAACCCTTGTGGATGTGGACGCGCTTCTTAGATTTGGATATCTGGAACGGAGGATCATCCAGAGAAAAAGTTCAGGGTTGTTCGAACAGATGAGTAAGTGTAATTAAAAGCTTTATCATGCCCATCTTCTATCTATTTGTTTGGTTCCTTCAAAAACAAGAACTTATTAAGATGGACATGATAAAGCTTTCGGTTACACTTATCCATTTGGTCGAATAAGCCTTGAACTTTTTCTCTGGATGATCCTCCGTTTTAGATGTCCAAATCTGAGAAGGGCATCCACATCCACAAGGGTTTGCATCATCAAATATCTTTTTTTTGTAGATCTTGAGTTGGAAATCAATGATTGAGAGGAAGAAGAAGAAGTAGTCATTACAAGAGATCGAACACATACAACTTTTCTCTTCTCCAAGCCCTAAATCAATATATAAAGGGCAATTGTAATCTATTTATTCCATGTCATTAAATATAATGCCATGTAATTTGCCAACTAATTGTATACCTAATGAATCTAGTTGTCTCTAATGAGAATTGAATAAAAGCGTAAGTTCGTTGGGTTTTTTTGAATAGACAAAACATGATTGATGTTTTTTTAATGGTTTCGAAACTTCGTTTGTCTTACAAGTCATTTTCCCGATATTTAATTATACTTCATAAGCCATGTCATTCGTTGACTTTAATTAGCCAGTTGACCCTAATGGAAATTGAACAAAAGTGTAAGTTAGTTGGGCTTTTTTAGACAAAAGGTTAAGTTCATCGGGTTTTCTTGAACATACAAAACATAATTGGGGTTCGTTGAACAGTTTGGAAACTTCGTTGAGCTTATAAGTCATTTTCCTGTTGTAAGAAAGCACCAGAGTTGTAACTTGTCAGGATCATAAAGCTTGAAGAAAACAAGTATATCTTCTTTTCTTACGTGAGGCGGAGGAAGAGGAAGCGAGTCCTAAAAACCAGGCAGACATTACTTTTTTAAAACTACTGAATAAAAAGGGCAGACACAAGCACCAAGACATTATTACAGGGCCAATCTTTGTTGTCTCCAAGAACAAATTCAGTTCGGCTTCAGCATTGTTATTCTTATTGTAAGCCACCCTAAACTCCCCAACCTATTGTTGTCGGTGTTAAAGGCCTATAAGGATGGTATGTGTGGTGTAAGCCACCCTATTCTTATTGTAGATACAGAAACTTGAAGGACGATAGTTGGAGACCATGTTTTTAATAAAATGACCAAGAAATACCGATTTTGTTTCCTCTAGGCGTGTTAAAGGCCTATAAGGATGGTATGTGTGGTTCTGTCTCTTTGCCCATGTCCAGAACCGTTGACATTCAAGAGGCACACCTAATTCTCTAGCAACCTCCTCCTGCAGTCCAATAAGATTAATCCATGATTCCATAACACATTTATTAAAAAAATAAAAAAAATAGATAAGAAACACCTTGAGACTGTTAAATGGATTTTGCTTCTCTACACAAACGCTCCAAACTTTGGCATGGTCGACAAGATCAAAATATATATCCTTCCCTATCTATTCAACTAGGTCTCGATCACAAGCAACCGCAACCTACACATGCATTTCATTTAAATGAATGATGATTATTAATATGAAATTCATGAAAGAAATAGATGATATCTCCACCACTAATCATCTACCACCTTGATAGTAGTGTCCTGTGCCTTATATCTTCTTTTGTCCTTTGCGCGAACACAATTTCTATCAGTATGGTCAAACCCCTTGCAAAAAGAACACCTACTTGGGTACTCATTACTCAATTCGAAGATCAGACAACAAATATCCATCACCATTAGGGAATGAAATAGAAATCCCACCAACCAGATCTCCAGTTGTGTCAACATCAACCAAAACTCTAGCATATTCAGCTGTATGCGACACATTCCCACAAATATGTCATGTATAAACATCGAGGCCTATAGGAATACCAAACATGCTAGACATGATCTTCACCACGTCCAACTTCCACAACCCGTGAGGCATGTCATACATTCGAATCCAAACAGGGTTCTTTTTATCTTCTTTATGCTTCTCAAGAAAGGAACCAGGACCCCACCTCATGAGAACAAGTTGGACATCACCGATGGTCCATGGTCCTTTTTCTAGAGCATCTAACATACCTTCATCAATGTTGAATATGAAAATATAAAAACCTTTAAGCTTCTTCGTGATATATTCAATTTCAATGTCACGTGCTTTCCACAGATTACGAATTCTGTCATTAAACAAGGAAAAGTCCGGCTCTTGCTCTTCCATAGTAAAAGAACCACAAAGGAATCGAGACCATAGAAGATCCCCCCAATTGTTAATAAAAGGCTTCACATGTTCAAGCTGTAAATCAATGGAACTTGGGTTTTCATCTACTACTTCAACAATTCTTTGCTTTTTCGCGGTAGATGAGCCATTGCCCTCCGCCCACATCTAAATCTGCCATATCACGAGTTTTTCGGCTATCAAGAATATCACCCTTACCTCCACCACCATCCTCAACTAATTATGAATTCAAATTATAAAAATGAAACATAAATAACCAAATAAGAACACAACAGGCCACAGACTACAACACAGGCTAGTTAAGAAGTTCTTAGTTCAATAAACCAAGAATATCACCCTTACCTCGTTCATACCATGAACATGCACACAAACACTTCCCAGCCTCAACTGAAATTTGTTTTTTTCTTTCATTCTTAAAACAAGGTTTAAAAAAGAACGATTCATGATGGATAAAGGAAGCAAAATAGACTTGAAAACAAAAAACGAGTCATGATGGATAAAGGAAGCAACAACCTTGACTACCATCGAGCACCGCATCAACTTGCACCGGTTCCCGTGGCTCCGTGTGCTGATCAGCAAGCATCTCCGCGTCTTCTTGCTGTCAAATAAATAGAAAATAGTAATTATCCGGATGGTGGATCCACCATCCAATATTCCTTCCAAAAACACTACAAACTTTGACCAATTTACTTTGACCAGGACGAGTCGTTGCGACAAGTCTGGCGGGAACGACAAAAATGTTTTGATAATGATGGTTGATGTTTTTTTAGTATTTTGAAGGATATGATTATGATAATGATGGTCGATGTTTATTTAGTATTTTGAACAATGTTAGCTAACTACTTATTGTAATATTAAACTTGAATTTGATGTTTTGGATTTGAACAATGGTACCTAGTTAATGTATTTCAATTGATATATGTTGCAATGTTTTTTAAATTTGTTAAAAATGCAGGAATTGTAATGTATTAAATCTGTAAAACTAAAAAAAACAACCAGTAGCTATCCCGACGACATGTCGTCGCTATAGGTATATAATCGACTCATGTGAAAAACCTATAGCGACGACTAGTCATCATAATAGATTAAACCTATAGCGACGACGTGTCGTCGCTATAGGTTTGCCGACGACATGTAGTCGCTATAGGTAATTAATAAAAATTTATTTTTTTCCCCGAAAATACAATTGACGAAAGCTGTACCGACGCCAAATCGTCGCAATAGGGGTAGCTATGGCGACGACATCTATGCCGACGACAATATTGACCTATGCCGACACACCTATGCCAAAGACATGTCGTCGACATAGCCTATACCGACGACATGTTGTCTGGATACGGTCCGAATTTGTCGTCGCCATAGGGTGTTAATGTTGTAGTGAAAGAAAACCGCTGAAAATTAAAAAAAATAAAACCCTAATTTCATGCATAACCCTAGCACGATTGCAAAACCATGCGGAGAATCAATAATAACACAGTCACTATGCCGATCATAACAACAACACTTTACAGTAATTCAGATTCACATAACAACAATTGTAGGAAATTAGACTTGCACTTGACTAAAAACACACCCAAAAGTGATGTGTGAAATGAAGAACAGATAGGTGGAATTTGGATCAATTTTCTGTGACTTTATTCTCTTCTTACAAAAAAGAATATTTGAAAACCTACATCTTCCTATATTCTAAACAAAAACAAAGTACATCTACTTATACTAAAAAAGAGCTGAATAATAGCTACCATCTAGCCCACGTATCCATGCTTAAGTGAAGCCACTATCCTTTTTATTTTCCACAAAACCCGGTCAAAGATAGAACCAAATCTTTTGCTGCAAGTTTGGATTGCAACAAACCCGATTAATCCAACAATCACCCTCTTAATCGGTTTGTTCTTGCCGATTACGTGCAACAGTGTTTCTTCGCCGTTAACCACTGACGAACACCACCACATTCACAACCTTTATTTACCGTCGACCTACCTGATGCTTCACCTATAGAACCCGTCGACAATTTTTTTTAACCAACACCATTTGGCTGTACCTTCTTACAGCCACCTGCTTTACCAAGATAACAACCACCATGATTCCTGACCTTTCCTGGACACCTGACCTCCACCTCGGTCACATCTGAATTCTTCTCTCGACTTTTGCCGGACCCTGACCTCTTCTTCGGTCGCATCCAAAGCCAACTATATCACAGTCCCCTTTAACCGCCACTCCAGTCACTGCCTAGACCACCCTTTGACAACTTCAACCCTTTACTTGTTCCAAGAGTCTTCTTCTACCGCTACTAGTCAAGAAAACCATGCTTCTTTTTTCTCTGTTTTATTTTACCTGAAAACAAGCCAAACCAAAAACCACATGTTCTCATTTCTCCTAGTTAGACTCATCGTACTGAACTACATTATCCATCTGTTACACCAAGACCATTCTTCCCTCTGTTATACTGATAGCCAATTGATATCATCATTGTTCCATTGCTACCATAATACCCGTCGACCATCTTCTCCGGGAAACCGCAGTAAACCGTAACCATCTGCTGCACCATCTTGTGCACTTCCGAACACCAACAACCCATTAGAAACCGCCATCCGTTTCCTATCACAACAACTCCCGATAACTACATGGTTAGCTCTGATACCAATTGTAGGAAATTAGACCTGCACTTGAAACACACCCAAAAGTGTTGTGTGAAATGAACAGATAGGTGGAATTGGGATAAATTTTATGTGACTTTATTCTCTTCCAAAACTGATTACAAATGAGAATATTTGAAAGTCTACATCTTCCTATATTCTAAAGAAAAAAAAATTACATCTACTTATACTAAAAAAGAGCTAAATAATAGATATCATCTAGCCCATGTATCGATGCTAAAGTGAAGCCGCTATCCTTTTTATTTTCCATAAAACCCGGTCAAAGATAAGACCAAATCTTTTGCTGCAAGTTTGGATTACAACAAACCCGATTAATCCAACAACAATAATTGAAACTTTCAAACACGGAAAGAAAGAAAGACGTGCATCTAATGGTTATGGATTGACCATAGTCAGAGTGTGGGTGAGGCGAATACAGTCCGATCATTTGACTGTGTTTCTCCTCCCTCTCAAGTCAACTAAAAATATTCAAAACCAAATAAACCCTAGATACATCTTCAATCCAAGTTCAATTCCCAACCTCTTTAACCCATCAACACATTTGCAACATCCAAATTAGATATTTCTACCTCCCATAAACTATCATCAATACTATACATATCTTCTTCTTTAAAAAAACTAGAAATACTTAAAGCACATTATTCGTCAATCTCAACCCAAGACATACTTTGATATCTGAAATTGTTGAAAATACTAAAACTGATGTTGAAAATAAGACAAAGTTAGAAACCTAAAATTGATGATATTATAGATAAACCATAGAGTTTGGATCCTTCCATCATTTCCAACATAAACAAAATCCCATTCAGAGTTTGGTACTTGAAACTGATGTTTTATTTAATCGAATATACTTCAGAAGTCGAAGTAATCGGAGGCGGCAGTACTACTAGAAAAACTGTTTTTTATGACACACATTGCATGTCATAAAAGGGAACATATGACACAAAAATGCATGTCGTTAAAGCCCACGCCATAAAGGAATATGACATGAATTTATGTGTCATAAGCTTATGACACACATTGCGTATTATCAAATCTCTTGTCATAAAGGAAGACAACACACATTTTGGTCTGTCATAATTTTAAATGTTTTATTTTTTTTTTCATGAATTTACTAAATTTTAAATTACCACACAACTAATGTCTCATAATATAAAATAAAATATCATACACAAAAAAATAAAATATATTGCCCAAATTATAATGTCATACAAATAATCATTCAAATGATAAGCAAAAATAATACATTGCTAATATGGGTTACATCTTCATATAAAACTAACAACCCTTGGTGACCCTGATCTGGATCGAATTTGACTTGGATCGGTGGTAGCGATCGGATTTTAGATACACTCTCAAAAGATTTGATGATTATTGTGACATCCCCAATTTCACGGTTAGAAAAGACCGATTTGTTTATGCTTATTTAAAATCAAAGTATCCTCTTTGAGGAATAATATTGCGGAATTTGTTCCCAAGAACATGATAATGTTATTATCAAATCATTTCTGAGGAAATGTATTTTATTTATATTAAAACGTTGGGATGTCATCGTTAATACAAAAATATAAGCATAACGAAATATTACAAGCCTTACGGTAATTAAACTAATGGCCTAATACTCCTTAAATCTCTCAGCAGAATGTATCTTTTATATCGCTACCTGTGATACAATAAATTGAGTGGGTCAGGTTGGGAAACCTGGTGAGTACATAGGGATTTCAATCTCATAATGTTATAACACACACACACACACACACACACACAC